GTCCTCCTGGGTCTCCTACCATATTTCTGTGTCATCAGTGGGGTCCTCCTGGGTCATCCTACCATATTTCTGTGTCAGCAGTGGGGTCCTCCTGGGTCTCCTACCATATTTGTGTCAGCAGTGGGTCCTCCTGGGTCCCCTACCATATTTCTGTGTCAGCATTGGGGTCCTCCTGGGTCTCCAACCATATTTCTGTGTCATCAGTGGGGTCCTCCTACGTCTCCTACCATATTTCTGTGTCAGCAGTGGGGTTCTCTTGGGTCTCCTACCATTTCTGTATCAGCAGTGAGGTCCTCCTGGGTCTCCTACCATATTTCTGTGTCAGCATGGGGTCCTCCTGGGTCTCCAACCATATTTCTGTGCCAGCAGTGGGGGGTCCTCCTGGGTCTCCTACCATATTTATGTGTCATCAGTGGGGTCCTCCTGGGTCTCCTACCATATTTCTGTGTCAGCAGTGGGGTTCTCTTGGGTCTCCTACCATTTTTCTGTGTCAGCAGTGGGGTCCTCCTGGGTCTCCTACCATATTTCTGTGTCAGCATTGGGGTCCTCCTGGGTCTCCAACCATATTTCTGTGCCAGCAGTGGGGTCCTCCTGGGTCTCCTACCATATTTCTGTGTCGGCAGTGGGGTCCTCCTGGGTCTCCTACCATATTTCTGTGTCGGCAGTGGGGTCCTCCTGGGTCTCCTACCATATTTCTGTGTCATCAGTGGGGTCCTCCTACGTCTCCTACCATATTTCTGTGTCAGCAGTGGGGTCCTCCTGGGTCTCCTCCCATATTTCTGTGTCAGCAGTGGGGTCCTCCCACCATATTTCTGTGTCAGCAGTGGGGTCCTCCCACCATATTTCTGTGTCAGCAGTGGGGTCCTCCCACCATATTTCTGTGTCAGCAGTGGGGTCCTCCCACCATATTTCTGTGTCAGCAGTGGGGTCCTCCTGGGTCTCCCACCATATTTCTGTGTCAGCAGTGGGGTCGTCCTGGGTTTCCTACCATATTTCTGTCAGCAGTGAGGTCCTCCTGGGTCTCCTCCCATATTTCTGTGTCAGCAGTGGGGTCCTCCTGGGTCTCCTCCCATATTTCTGTGTCAGCAGTGGGGTCCTCCTGGGTCTCCTCCCATATTTCTGTGTCAGCAGTGGGGTCCTCCTGGGTCTCCTACCATAGAGTCCCTTTTGATTCAGATGGTGACGTATAGTGGGAGACACTGTTGTCCCCGGTGCCTGAAGGTCGGCTTGGATCTGTCTGGAAGTTGATGGAAGTTCTTCATCCACCATTCCAACAATCCTTCGTTTCAATCTTTGATCACTTTTTCTCCTTCATCCACGTCCAGGGAGATCAGCTACAGTGCCATGGGATGTAAACTTCCTGACAATGCTGCGCACAGTGGACACAGGAACATGAAGATCTCTGGAGATGGACTTGTCACCTTGACATTGTCTATGCTTTTCCACCATTTTTATTCTCCGATCCCCAGACAATTCTTTGTTCTTCCTCTCCTCCATGCTCCGTGTGGCCCACAGAGACACCCAACACGAAGGTGGAGGCCATTTGTGACCATTGTCCCCGGTTGCTGATTTCTAACCGGCACCTGGTCATGTATACGGGGGAGTTTAATGGCAAACTACAGGAGCACCCCAAACCTGGAATGCAATTATTTCTCACCATTTTGAGAAGGTGCCAATAATTTTGCCTGGTCCATTTTGGGGGTTTTGCATGGAATGGGTCAGATTTGGCTTTTCGTTTCTCAGCTTTCTTGGGTCAAACCAATACAAACCGAAGAAAGAAACACAAGAATGCCGAAACATTTGTCATGGCAGCAATTTTCTGGGTGAAGTGGTGCGTGATAGAACAGAACTGCAGGGGTGGGGGTGGGGGAGGGGGACAAGATTTTTGGCCATGACTGTAGTCCTAGGCTTGCCCAGGTTTCCAAGTGCTGTGTGGGAGCAGGACCAAGCCGGGGGGGGGGGGGGGGATATGGGGGCGTAATCCTCTGGAGGGGTTCAAAAAAACGTATCACATAGATCATTCTGGGCATGAAAAACGGCCCTAAGTGTGAGTTCCCTGGTGCTGAACAAGTTGTCTTTTCTCAGTGAAACTTTTCCTGCACTCTGAACACGAAAAAGGCCGCTCGCCCGTGTGACTCCTATGGTGTGTTAGAAGTTTCCCTTTTTCAGAGAAACATTTTCCACACACCGAACACGAGAACGGACGCTCGCCTGTATGAATTTTCTGGTGTTTGACAAGGGCTCCTTTGTGAACGAAACATTTCCCGCACTCTGAACACGAATAAGGACGCTCCCCGGTGTGTCCTTTTCGGTGCTGAGCAAGGCCTCCTTTGTGAATGAAACATTTCCCGCACTCTGAACACGAATAAGGACGCTCACCCGTGTGACTTCTCTGGTGTTGGAGAAGTGTCTTTTTCAGGATGAAACACTTCCCACACAGTGAGCATGAATAAGGACGCTCGCCCGTGTGACTTCGCTGATGATTAAGAAGGTCGGCTTTCATAGTGAAAGAATGGCCGCACTCTAAACATGAAAAGGGACGCTCCCCCGTGTGGATTCTCTGGTGTTTAATAAGGTTTCCTTTTGGCTAAAACATTTCCTGCACTCTGAACAAGAATAAGGACGCTCACCCGTGTGGCTTCTCTGGTGCAGATGAAGTTTTACTTTATCGGTGAAACATTTCCCGCACACTGAACATGAAAAAGGCCGCTCACCCGTGTGGCTTCTCTGGTGTTTAACAAGGCCTCCTTTGTGGATGAAACATTTCCCGCACTCTGAACATGAATAAGGACGCTCGCCTGTGTGACTCCTCTGGTGTGTAAGAAGTGTCTTTTTCAAAATGAAACATTTACCACACACACAAGCAGGAATAAGGACGCTCACCCGTGTGACTTTTTTGGTGATTAAGAAGGTCGGCTTTCATAGTGAAAGAGTTCCCACACTCTAGGCACTGAAAAGGGCGCACGCCGGTGTGAATTCTCTGGTGTTTGACAAGGTTTCCTTTTTGACTGAAACATTTCCCGCACTCTGAACATGAGAAAGGACGCTCGCCCGTGTGACTTCTCTGGTGTATAACAAGGTTTCCTCTCAATGTGAAGCTTTTTCCGCACTCTGAACATGAGAAAGGACGCTCGCTCTTGTGACTTTTCTGGTGTAGAAGAAGAGCTCGGTTTTCAGCAAAAGATTTCCCACACACTGAACATGGCAATGGTTGAGCTTCTGTTTGAAGTCCTTCATGGATTAAAGAAGGTTCCATGGGATTAGAGAGATCTGGAGACCTTTCTGCACTCTGAGATTTCAGACGTATTTTTGCAGTGACAGTATGAGATTTATCAGAAGATTCCTCGGGATTAGACGGATCCATTGATCTCACCGAACGGTCATGTCTGCGATGTCTACTATCAGTGGTGGGATTTACTTCCGAAGAATGTTGTGTGATGACATCATCTTCTACATTATAATCTGGAGAATGTCCCTCAGAGGGATTCCTCTTCCAAGTGTTGTGTCCATCTGTTGGAAAGCAAATAAAAAGCAAAATGTGATCCGTATGTTCCAACCTATGACAACAGACCAGATCGATCCCACAATACAACCAAACTATTACTGTGAACATGAAGGTGGACCTTCCTCCACCTCATTTCCGGGAAACATACTGAAGAACAGAGATGGATCTTTTATATGGTGTCCAGTATCTCCTCCTCATTTGTTGGGAACATGACGTTATATTGAGGAATGGAGATGGACCTTTCATATGGTGTCCAGTATCTCCTCCTCATTTGTTGGGAACATGACGTTATATTGAGGAATGGAGATGGACCTTTCATATGGTGTCCAGTATCTCCTCCTCATTTGTTGGGACATGACGTTATATTGAGGAATGGAGATGGACCTTTCATATGGTGTCCAGTACCTCCCTCCTCATTTGTTGGGAACATGACGTTCTATTGAGGAACGGAGATGGACCTTTCATATGGTGTCCAGTATCTCCTCCTCATTTGTTGGGAACATGACGTTATACTAAGGAATGGAGATGGACCTTTCATATGGTGTCCAGTATCTCCTCCTCATTTGTTGGGAACATGACGTTATATTGAGGAATGAAGATGGACCTTTCATATGGTGTCCAGTATCTCCTCCTCATTTGTTGGGAACATGACGTTATATTGAGGAATGGAGATGGACCTTTCATATGGTGTCCAGTTGCTGTAAAAGCTGTGAAAATGATAAATGTTACTGGATGATCTTCTGCCTATCAGCATTGGGAAGGAATTCTGTAACCTTGTTAGACTGACGCCTAGCACACAGGATCAGAAGATAAGACAGAAAAAACTAATTAGTACACAGGTTTCGAGAGCTAATCATGTGAAATTATCCGAAGGGACAAACACAAAAATATTTCACATACGATACCAGAACGTACGATATTCGTTTAATCAATAAAGTTTTTGTCCAAAAAAAATTGGAAGACCACGCATGCTCCGAAACGAAAGAATGTATTACAATACATCATATGACATCACTTCCGATGTATTTGGTTCTACGAGAATTTTCGGAACCTCTTTATGTTTCATATGAGACTAGCATGCAAAAAACCCCCAAAAAAAGGTCGATCATTCGTCCAATATTCTCTTCGTGTGTACCAGGCTTACATTTGACCAAGGTTCAAAGAGGTTTTCTGCCTTCCTCTGGATCATTAGGGGATCATTCACAACATGTCCTGGAAACACCCTTGGTGCTCATCACTTACTTGGGTCCCTTTGTAGAGATGATTCCTCCTTTTTACTTTTCATAATCATCTCCTGATCTCCACTCACCAACGTCTCTTCTTCTTCCTCTTTATCTTCAACTTTGATGTTTTTCAATTCTTCACCCTAAACCACAAATATAATAGAATATATTTGATTACTATAAAAAAAAGATTTTAAAGAAGAATGTCCAATCAGAGCTTGGAACCATTTTTTTGGTTATATTTTGGTTACATGCTCAGTCCCATCTACCTGATGATGGTGGGGAATGGTGTGACCTTCCTGTGTGGAATCCCCAGAATACAGAGGACGGGGACATCTCTCTGGTGGGTTCCCATTACTGGGTCCATCTACCTGATGATGGTGAGGGATTGGTGTGACCTTCCTGTGTGGAATCCCGGGAATACAGAGGACAGGGACATCTCTCTGGTGGGTTCCCATTACTGGGTCCATCTACCTGATGATGGTGAGGGATGGTGTGACCTTCCTGTGTGTAATCCTGGGAATACAGAGGACAGAAAACATCTCTCTGGTGGGTTCCCATTACTGGATTCATCTACCTGATGATGGTGGGGGATGGTGTGATCTTACAGTGTGGAATCCCAGGAATACAGAGGACAGAGACATCTCTCTGGTGGGTTCCCATTACTGGATCCATCTACCTGATGATGGTGACGGATGGTGTGACCTTCCTGTGTGGAATCCCGGGAATTCAGAGGACGGGGACATCTCTCTGGTGGGTTCCCATTACTAGATCCACCTACCTGATGATGGTGAGGGATGGTGTGACCTTCCTGTGTGGAATCCCGGGAATACAGAGGACGGGGACATCTCTCTGGTGGGTTCCCATGACTGGATCCATCTGTAGGAAACACACACACTGACTGAATCCATTGTTTCTATGTGTTTATCAGATGATGGGGGATCTAGGTGGATCCTCCGTACTGCTCTCTCCTTTCCAATAAAGTCTCCTCTTACCGGTGATGTGAGGGGCGGCTGATTGTCCATCATGACGTCCTTGTAGAGGTCCTTGTGTCCTTCTAAATACTCCCACTCTTCCATGGAGAAATAGACAGTGACATCCTGACACCTTATAGGAACCTGACACACACAATGATACAGTCACCATCCAGACACATCCCTTGTCTGTTACTGGAGAATGTCCCAGAATTCCCGGCACCGCTCACCTCTCCTGTCAGCAGATCAATGATCTTCTGGGTGACTTCTAGAATCTTCTTGGCACTGGTTACCTCTGCTGTCAGGCAGTGAGGTGGAGGCCCTGTGATGGGTGATGTTCCATGAAGACCACTATTGGGTGTTATTGGTTCACCAGATGTCTTCTTCACTACTTTATAATCCTGTGTTTTATTAATAGAGATGAGAGTGATGTCATGTGACCCCCCAAATCCTCCTCACCTCTCCGGTCAGGTCTGTGTTTTATTAATAGAGATCAGAGTGATGTCATGTGACCTCCCAGAATCCTCCTCACCTCTCCGGTCAGGTCTGTGTTTTATTAATAGAGATCAGAGTGATGTCACGTGACCTCCCAGAATCCTCCTCACCTCTCCGGTCAGGTCTGTTTTATTAATAGAGATGATAGTGATGTCATGTGACCTCCCAGAATCCTCCTCACCTCTCTGGTCAGGTCTGTGTTTTATTAATAGAGATGAGAGTGATGTCATGTGACCTCCCAGAATCCTCCTCACCTCTCCAGTTAGGTCTGTTTTATTAATAAAGATGAGAGTGATGTCATGTGACCTCCCAGAATCCTCCTCACCTCTCCGGTCAGGTCTGTGTTTTATTAATAGAGATAAGAGCGATGTCATGTGACTTCCCAGAATCCTCCTCACCTCTCCGGTCAGCAGGTAGATGATCTCCATAGTAAGGTCTATTATCCTCTCAGTCATGTGACTCTTGTCCTTGTCCATTGTTGTAGATGAGATCTATGCAGGATGCTCCTCTCTGTAGACGGATAATAACCTGAGAATTATCAGGACTGTAGGGGATGAATGATGTCTGCACAGAGTTCCTCCAGAGTTCTAACATCTCAGACTGTTTCTCATACTATATTTCAGGTCTTCTGTATGAAAGCAACGAGAAATTCCATTCAATAAGCAACCATAGACAAACTTTTTTTTTTTTCCTAATCAGACAGCATAGGACAAAGGCTCCTTTAAGTCTCAACCATGGGTCGTATGCCACCACCTTCAGGTGAGGACACCGGCAAACAAAGTCGTTAGGACAGCTCATATACCCCTCCTACTCCCAGCAATCTCCAGTTTTTTTGCAAGTATCCTTAAGTGATGGATGACCTCTACTGAGGACAGGTTCTGGCTTATAATTCTGATATTTCCAGAAGATTGAAGACTTTGCAGCATTGAGGCCACTGCAGCAACATAAGTGTAGCGTCAACCCTTTGCAGCCCTTCGGGGAAACATACCTGGACCAAGCCATATGGAAGACATGGGGGTCGGTCTGTAACACTGGACTAAATATTTGGCACTCAACCTCGGTACAGCAGTGCAGTAGGGTGCAGAGTAAGCTCTACAGGCCCAGGGCAGTTCCATTCCTGGAATACCCATTTCAAGGAGGAGAGGGTATGCCTTCCCAATAAGGGAAATGCAGGGAGTCTTCACCTAGTGGGTTCTTCCCTTGGAAGGAACCAGTACACCGGTGTGATGAATTTAGGGCTCTACCCTTTACCCTGAAGGGTTCCACCTTTACCATTCCTACACACAAGCCAATCCTTTGGCCCCTGCTTAGGTCACAGAGGGGTGAGTGGCAAGAATACCTTTAAGCTATGAGCCGTGTGTTGCAAGGGAACAGTTTGTTGCCACCATGGCCTAGCATTCGCCACTTTCAACAGGCTAAGGAGATTTTGGCGCAGCTCCCGCAACACATGCATATGTGTATAGTAACGCCCTATCCCTAACTCCCAATGCCATCTTGAGCACATTGCTCTGCTAAGGACAAGCACACTACAGCTCCAGCTGCTAGCCTGCTCCAGATTGTGGCCCAAGTCTCTGTATTAGTCTTTACCGGGATATCCAGCCTTGGGACACAGGATGGCAACAGTCTCTGCACTGATCAAGGTTGGAAGTACCCCTCACCCTCATGGCAGACATCAGATGGAAGTGAAATGGGTTGAGAGGGCACACACTGTGCACAGGCTTGTGATGAGGTTGTTCAAGGTTCCTCTCAAAACTCTGTCCTTGGTGTGCAAACTGAGGTTTAGGAGGAATCGGAGACTTTGAGGTGTGGAGACTGAGGTCTAGTTTAAGAGGAATGGATAGTACCAAAAGAGATAACGGGAGACTCCGAGGTGTGGAGACTCTGGGTTTTGAAGACTGAGGTCTAGTTTAAAAGGAATGAAGAATACCAGAGGAGATAACAGAAGACTCCAAGGTGTGGAGACTGATGTCTACTTTAAGAGGAATGAGGAGTACCAAAGGAGATAACGAGAGACTCCGAAGTGTGGAGACTGAGGTCTAGTTTAAGAGGAATGGGGAGTACCAGAAGGGATAATGGGAGACTCCGAGGTGTGGAGACTGAGGTCTAGTTTAAGAGGAATGGGGAGTACCAGAGGAGATAATGGGAGACACCAAGGTGTGAAGACTGAGGTCTAGTTTAAGAGGAATGGAGAGTACCAGAGGAGATAACATGAGACTCTGAGGTGTGAAGACTGAGGTCTAGTTTAAGAGGAATGGAGAGTACCAGAGGAGATAACGGGAGACTCTGAGGTGTGGAGACTGAGGTCTACTTTAGAAGCAATGGATAGTACCAAAGGAGATAAAAGGAGACTCTGAGGTGTGGAGACTGAGGGAACTGAAATCTGCCCCTGGTGTGGAGACCTGGTCCCATTATCTCCTTTGGTACTCCTCATTTCTCTTAAACTAGGAATTTTCTGTCTCTATTGTAGACTTAATGGGGAAAGTCTAAGATTTGAAAGACAACGGGATGTACCAGGCATAAGCACCACCATCCGAACCTCAGATTCTCTTTTTGTTTGACCTGTGGTCTCCCACAAGGGCAGTCGTATATCTCATTCATCTCTCTCTCCTTCTTCTTCTTCAGAAGATACAAGACGTCACAGTGACGATGGAGGAAGTGGACGGACGTGACGATGGAGGAAGAGGACGGACGTGACGATGGAGGAAGAGGACGGACGTGACGATGGAGGAAGAGGACGGACGTGACGATGGAGGAAGAGGACGGACGTGACGATGGAGGAAGAGGACGGACGAGACGATGGAGGAAGAGGACGGGCGTGAAGGTGGAGGAAGAGGACGGGCGTGAAGGTGGAGGAAGAGGACGGGCGTGAAGGTGGAGGAAGAGGACGGACGTGACGATGGAGAAAGAGGACGGGCTTGAAGATGGAGAAAGAGGACGGGCTTGAAGATGGAGAAAGAGGACGGAGTTGAAGATGGAGAAAGAGGACGGAGTTGAAGATGGAGAAAGAGGACGGGCTTGAAGATGGAGAAAGAGGACGGGCTTGAAGAAGGAGAAAGAGGACGGGCTTTGAAGACGAAGAAAGAGGACGGGCTTGAAGATGAAGAAAGAGGACGGGCGTGAAGATGGAGGAAGAGGACGGGAGTGAAGATGGAGGAAGAGGACGGGAGTGAAGATGGAGGAAGAGGACGGGCGTGAAGAAGATGGAGGAAGAAGACGGATGTGACGATAATGGAAGAGGACGGGATGATGGAGGAAGATGACGGGACGTGACGATGGAGGAAGTGGACGGACGTGACGATGGAGGAAGAGGACGGACGTGACGATGGAGGAAGAGGACGGACGTGACGATGGAGGAAGAGGACGGACGAGACGGTGGAGGAAGAGGACGGGCGTGAAGGTGGAGGAAGAGGACGGGCGTGAAGGTGGAGGAAGAGGACGGGCGTGAAGGTGGAGGAAGAGGACGGGCGTGAAGGTGGAGGAAGAGGACGGGCGTGAAGGTGGAGGAAGAGGACGGGCGTGAAGATGGAGAAAGAGGACGGGCTTGAAGATGGAGAAAGAGGACGGAGTTGAAGATGGAGAAAGAGGACGGGCTTGAAGATGGAGAAAGAGGACGGGCTTGAAGATGGAGAAAGAGGACGGGCTTGAAGATGGAGAAAGAGGACGGGCTTGAAGATGGAGAAAGAGGACGGGCTTGAAGATGGAGAAAGAGGACGGGCTTGAAGATGGAGAAAGAGGACGGGCTTGAAGATGGAGAAAGAGGACGGGCTTGAAGATGGAGAAAGAGGACGGGCTTGAAGATGGAGAAAGAGGACGGGCTTGAAGACGAAGAAAGAGGACGGGCTTGAAGACGAAGAAAGAGGACGGGCTTGAAGATGAAGAAAGAGGACGGGCGTGAAGATGGAGGAAGAGGACGGGAGTGAAGATGGAGGAAGAGGACGGGCGTGAAGATGGAGGAAGAAGACGGATGTGACGATGATGGAAGAGGACGGGATGATGGAGGAAGATGACGGGACGTGACGATGGAGGAAGCGGACGTGACGATGGAGGAAGAGGACGGGACGTGACGATGGAGGAAGAGGACGGGACGTGACGATGGAGGAAGAGGACGGGACGTGACGATGGAGGAAGAGGATAAGACGTGACGGTGGAGGAAGAGGATAAGACGTGACGGTGGAGGAAGAGGATAAGACGTGACGGTGGAGGAAGAGGATAAGACGTGACGGTGGAGGAAGAGGACGGGACGTGATGATGGAGGAAGAGGACGGATGGGACAGTGGAGGAAGATGACTGATGTGACGATGGAGAAAGAGGACGGGACGTGACGATGGAGAAAGAGGACGGGACGTGACAATGGAGGAAGAGG